TACGCAAGCAGATCAACCTACTATTTAAGGCAGCATGAAAGAAATCCTACCTAATATATATAACTACTAATTTTACAGAAGAAAATTGCAGCACAAGATTCAGAAAGGACCCGCCATGAAATGGTTAAAGACCATATTACTGGGTAAATTTTAGGCTGAACACAGAAAGTAGAACAAGCAGAGGTTGAAACCTTCAGATTGCTAGAACACACACTCGACATGACAATTGAAAATGCAAAAATGATGCTTCAAGGTGCCACGGTAATACAATACGCAATGGACAAAAAGTATGCCTCAGTAACAGGAATATAAAGAACTCCTCACCATTCCAGCAAACATACAACCAAGGCTCCACATATCTAATGAGTAATCATAATCTTGTATATCAACAAGAAGTTCAGGGCCTTTAAAATATCTGCAAAAGAAATTCCCATGAAGTTTAAACCAAAGTTTAATCCATGTTTAATTTCCTGGAAAGCATAGACTTGGATCATGCTTAATATTGTAGACAGAATAAAATTTAAATCCTACATTACATCGTTTACAATTTCACATCAACTAATAGAAAGAAAAACAAATTCAAATGTTAGTTCTGTTTTAAACCAACCTTGAAGCGACACGAACATTGTACTCTTTCCCCAATCTATAAGACGAAGCTTGCGCTGCTCATGATCAATCATAACATTATGGGGCTTCACATCTCGGTGCATAATACCTTGTGAATGACAATAATCTAAAGCCTGCACAGAAAAAATTGTAAAGACCAAGCTAAAGGTAAATGAAATAAAATCAACTTGCCTGTCCGTTTTTACAATGATAACAAGAAAGTTATGCTCATTCTCAAGTTGTCAGATCAATTATTTGGCAAAAGAAAGAACACCAAAAATAAGACATGGACAACAAAGCTACTAAATTGACCAATCCATACACAGGAATATGACCATATATGACTTTTATGTACTTGGTAAATCAAACATAAAAGGCTAAAACACACAGTTTTACTTGCTTTAATATATATTACCATGACATAATGAAAGATAAGCGTTTAATACTTGCACTGCACATGAAAGAGCAGTAATACTTGGCACTTGCATTTCCATGTCACTAAAAATATAAGCTTTAAATACTTAAGCACGAAAGAAAAATAATACTACATGAGCAACCTCAGGATGTTGTTTATGTATAAAACAAAATGAGCTGACGGGAGCTTGCCTTCAAGAGTTCATAGATATAGTATCGTATATCATAATCTGAGAGTGTTGGATAGAGCACTTTAAAGTCTGTATTATTCACATATTCGAATATTAAACTTGGCGTCTTCGATTGCTGGTCTCTAACAATATCAAGCAACTTCACAACATTGGGCCCTCCACAAAGATTCTGCAGTATCTTGATCTCCCTCTTAATCTGCATTCAGAGGGTCAAGTACACTGTGAAACCTCTATAACCATCCACTTTTCAATAAATTTGTTACCTTTCCACCTCTAACAACATTCTGATTCCTTATTACAGTTCTTATATTATATAGAAAACAAAATACATTAGTAAATTACTATCAAAAGAGAGGAAAAGAAGTAACAGCTGACAATATTCTTTCATCGTCTCATACCTAGCTTAACTTAATAGTTTTATCAAAGACTTAGTGCAATTCATTTCACAAAAGCTGATAAAACTCAACAGTAATAGACTCTTTAGTGTAATTCCTTACAAAACCCAGGCATATATAAGTATATAGTTATAAGTACCACTAAAGCTGATAAAACTCAATAATAAAAGACTCTTATAATATTCAATTACAAAGGCATGGTAATATAATAGGACAAGAATATAGTTCTGAGTATTTCAATAATGATAGCATATGAAATATTGAATAACATAGTAGAGGGCAAAAATACTGCAATTTTGCAAGAACTCGCCTTTTTCTTTTTCACAGGCTTGAGAATCTTAATAATACACTTCTCGCTATCGGTACAGTGAACTCCCTCAAAAACCTCACTATATTTTCCCCTGCCGACCTTCCTCACCACCTCGTAATCATCTTGTTCTCTGAAAAATCACAACAAAGAACGAAAATTTCCATAATTCGAATCCAAAGTCCATAGAAAAAAAAAAGAGAAAAGAAAAACACCATGACTCAATTCTTTCTTCCGCTCGCTTTTCCCTCCCGTTTTCTCGTCATCCAAACATATAGCAAGAAAACCTAGACAAAAAGCGCAAGAGATTACCCCCACTGGACGGTGAGCGACTCGTAGTCCCAGTACTCCTTGGGGCGGATCACGTTAACATCGCTGTAAACCCTAGCCTTAGAGGCGGCGCCGGGGCGGCGGATGGACTTTCCGATCTTCTGCGCCAGGGTTTCCGGCGAGAGAGGCGGCGGAGGGGAGAGGCGGTGGCTCTGCGACGGCGTCCGGCTGTGGGAGAAGAAGGTGGTCGTCGACGAGGATATGAGTCGGCGAGGAGAGGGAGAGAGATGGGAGGAGAGAGATATAGAAAGGGAGCAGTTGAGGAAGAGAGAGAAGAGATTACTGTTGTGGGAGTGGGAGAAGAGGGTGAATTGGATGAAGGGCCTTTTGGCCATCAAAATCAAAAAAAAAAAAAAAAAAGTCTTTTCTTTGATTATTGGGAAAATAGCAGACGTACGACCGATGCCACTACTCATATTCTCTCCTAATTCTTTCCGTTTCATTTTCATTTTCATTTTTCTTTTTCTTTTCTCTTTGTTTCCCTCCCTCCGTCGTTTTTTGTTGTTTTGCTCTTTTTCAAACGCCAATTTTTTTCCTCTTTTTTCGTTTTAGCGTTTTGCTACTCTTTAATTTAATGATATTACAAAATAATCAATTTCTTTTAACAACTTTAGAAACTCAATTTTTTGTTATAATATTTTTTCTTTTAAAAAATTTAAATATGTAATTTATTGTAGTATTCTTTCTCACATAAAATTAATTTTAGAACTCTAATTCTTAACTCAGTGAAAAAATATACCCATTAAAATAAAAATTTATAAAATTGAATAAATCACCATCATACACCTCACATATTGTTAATTGATATTTATTGAAACGGATATAGGACCTTAAATTTTAGAATATTTGACATTTAGGTACTCAATTTAAGAATTTAGACATTTAAGTCCCACTACTTTTAATTTGTTGACATCACATTCTCCCTTTTAAGAATTCAACACTTAAATGCCCATTATATTAGCATCATTTGTCTCTATAAGAAGGACTAATTTCAACAATACCTTGAAACTATGTACTTTATTTGAAGATGCTCGCTAAACTTTAAAAATGGTTCCTTTTTCTTCATGAGGTATGTATCAATTCAAAATGCCTCTTACATTTATAATACTAATAAATTGATGAAATGACACTACTTATATTTTTATAAATGTCTCCCAAATTAAACGATTGAACGAAGCTTAAATCTAAAGCTGAGAATGAACGAAAGTGGCATTTTTTTTTTTTTTTCATTTAGTGAACTTTTTCTAATGAATAAGAAGCTGGCTTGTAACATACCCAAACATTGAACACAATTTGTGGACCAACTACAAGGGGCTTCTCGGACTAAGTGATAACTGTAGAAGAATAGCCTTTTTACTCAATTTATATCTTATTGATTATATTGTGCTTATTGGTGTTTGGCAAGAGTTTTACCACTACTAATAGTGTTTTCTGTTTCATAAACTCAGATTATGCTGGTGATTTGAACAAAAGAAGATCCTTAGTAGGTTATTTCTTTACACTTTTGATCTGTGCTATTAGTTGGAAACTACTCTGCAAGGTCTAATTGCTTTCTCTACAATAGAAAGAGGTAGAGCTTTCATGAATTTTTAATTGATATGATATGAAAATCTAATTAATCTTGACATCGAAAGGACATGAAAAGGAACATAAATTATGGGGCACATAAGTCAATTTTGGTAGGAAAATAGAAGCGTTGACGAAAGCCTTAGAGGTTTTGTAAGAGGTTTGCGCTTGCAACAACATTTTATCAAATGAGAAGGTATTAAGAGACAAATATGAATGTCGTCCCCACTAAATTTTTGAAAAATATATATTAAATATTTTAATCTTTTCGTCTTGCTCCTACTAAGATTCTTATTCGCCCCCCACTTAACTTTATCTTTTTATGTTTTATTTCTATATTTCTTTTATAAATAACTTTACCCTTTTTATAATTTTACTAATGAGCTAATGCTTTCTACGATGATTTTTTATACTTCCAATTTGACGTTAACAAATTATACATTATACTTGAATTGTATTACATTTAGATTTATACTTTTATCTTTCAAATTCATACTAGATCTATTTTTTTTTTGGTCAAAAGTTGATTTTGATTAGGAAAAATACAAAACATTTTTCACATTTTACAGTTTTAGTTTTATTTTGCTTTATTCTTCGTCTTTTATTCCGGACATTTAGGTATTTTTTAATAAATAACCCAAAAAAGGTACGAATTATGCGTAAATTCGTTCCTCCAATTCTAACCCCACTACATTTTACTGTTGGTTATTATGATAGAGAAAACGTTATATAGGCATGTTCATTTCGCTGATTCGAGTTTAGAATTTGAGTTTTGTTACAATAAAAAACTCTCATAAATAATCACATCTAACTTTTTTACTACAGTAAAAAGCTCTCACATAAAATTACATCTCAACTCGAATTAAAAATTCGAATCAACGAACTAAACGGGCCCAAATTGTTTCATCAGATGGCCAAACACATTAATATAAAAAATCATTCTTACCAGACAACCCACGCCATCGTTTCCATCAAATTATACCTCACCGACTTCCAAGTTCCATTCTTCCCTTTTTCTACTCTACCAAACATAGCATAAAAACAACTATTACTTAAAGGTACAAGCTTTACTAGATTTGGGTAAAAGACAATCTTATCTTGTTTTCAGTTAATAATGAAAAAAGGGTTAAAAGATCTGTGTTCGAAGTTCAACCTTTGATTGGGGACATCGCACGTGACATTTATGACATTTTTGGGTAGTGATGATAGGAAAAATTCATGGCCTTCGAAGCCACTGCTTTTTGACTAACCAATACGGAAAGCGGAAAGCTAATCTAAAAAAAAAAAAAAAAAAGGCACAAATATCAACAAACAAACAAACCGAAGCGGGAAACTTCGAACGAGAAAACCATGGACGATGTTAGGGCAAGCTCTGCTTGGGTCGCCAGCCGCTCTTCTCACGTCGTCGTCGATTCTTTGGGTTCGTCAATCATAAACACCCGCATTTTATTTTGCAGCTTTCTGTAAATTTCTGCTCTGTATCTCTGTGAATATAATAATATATGCAGGGGTTGAGAAAGTGGTGGAGAATATCGGTTCCATTCCTCGAGTGAAATGGGATTTCGAAGGGATTCACTATTTTGATAATGGCCCTCTCACCGTTCAGTATCTCTTGGTCTTGGACGCTTTGAATTTCTGCTTTTGGCCCGGTATGTATATAATCATATACACACATATATATATATATATATATATATATGTATATTATGAGGTTGTTGAAGCAGATAGAAATGGGACTAACATAGGGATATTTTTCTGCTTGTTGATTTTCTTGGTTATATTATTTAATGCAATTCAATGGTATTTTTATGAAGTATTTGTTGTTTTGTATTCCCAAGCTTAGAAAATGATAGTGTGTGACTCTGTTGAAAGAAAGAACAAATTGGTAAAATGGATTGTGGCATTTTTCTTGCTCCAGGTGTTTTCCCTTTTTCAACACTTTTTTTCCCCTTTCCGATTGGTTCTTTCTCTGAGGTGACGTTTGTTCATGATTCTGATTTTTTAAATTTAAATTTTTTGTGAGAGAAAAATATGTAGCAGAATCAAGAACTATGATCTTAAACTAGACAGAACTCTTGAAACAAACGTTGATTGCAATTTCCACTTTATGTCAATGGAGAAAACTTAAGTTGACATATGCTTATATTAGCTCGTACTAATATCAATTGGAACCTGCAGATGCTTATATATGTATATATGTGTGAGTGTGTAATATCTACTTAGTTCTTTCTGTAATTTTCTCTGGTTTCCCTGCTGATGTTGTTTCTTTTTTGGTTTTGATCGACTTTGTTTTTGTTGATTGTAATTTACAGATGCCGATCTAAATTATGATCATTTAGCCTCGGGGCTGAAGGAAGCTCTACAGAATGACAAGTCTGTTTTCGACGCTGATCGTTTGCAGAAATACACTGGTAATTGACTTACCAAGTTCATCTTTCTTTGGCCTTGATCCTTGTTGATCTGATGTAGTTGGTCAATGTCGGTTAGATAAGGGTTTCTCATTAGAGATAAGGTTTCTAAAGGTAGAGTTTATCTTTAATTAGAATAGAATTTATCCTTAATTAGGATAGTTTCTTTTAGAAAGATAAGGTTTCTTCCTTAGCCTATTTATTCTGAATTATTTTTGACTATTCTAAAAAAAATAGAAAAAAGTTTCTTTCTAGAAAATTTACATTGTATTAGAGCCATGACAAAAACAGCCATGGTTGGTGCCGCCAAAGATGCGAGTTCCTCAGAGGTTGCCGATGAGGTTGTTCCTCAATCTCCTATGTATCTACCCGATCATTCCCTTCAAATAACCATTCATAAACTGAATGGAAAAAATTATGTAGAATGGTCACAATTTGTCAAACTTGTGATCGATGGTAAAGGAAAGCTCGGTTACCTGACCGGAGAAATAAAACAGCATACTGATGATGCACAAAGCAGAAGAGATGGAAATTAGAGAACTCAATGGTAATTGCCTGGTTGATTAATTCTATGGAACCAATGATTGGGAAACCATTCATGTTTCTCCCAACTGCTTGAGATGTTTGGGAAGCAGTGTGGGATACATACTCTGATCTGCAAAATTATTCCCAAGTGTTTGAATTAAATGCCAAGATGTGGAGATCCCAGCAAGGAGATTGAGAAGTGACTGTGTATTATAACGAGATGATGACACTATGGCAAGAACTTGATCTACTTGAAGAAGAAGAATGGGAGAGTCCAAGTGATAGTGTTCGATACAAGAAAAAAATTGAAAGAAACCGTGTGTTTGTATTTCTTGCTGGTTTAAACAAAGAATTAGATGAAGTTCGTGGTTGAATTTTTAGTCGAACACCTCTCCCCTCAATTAGAGAGGTTTTCTTTGAAGTTCGCAGACATGTCATGATGAAACCAGCAGAAGACACTCAACCAAGCCTTGATGCTGAGAGTTCTGCACTGGCTACAAAAGGGTATGATCCAGAGGGCGAAAGGAAGAATGGGAGATAGAAGCCATGGTGTGATCACTGCAAAAAACCATGGCACACCCGTGAGAACTGTTGGAAAATTCACAGCAAGCTAGCAAACCGGAAAATGAAGCAGAATGGCGACACTCGGGCATTCCAGGCTAGCAACAATAATGAAACAGGGCAGCAACAAGTTTCCTCAGAAACTCTTCCATTTACAAAGGAACAACTTGACCACCTGTACAAAATGTTTCAGCCACCCTTACAATCCCCAGTAAATTCCAACCCTTCTTGTTCAGTAGCAAAAAAAAGTAATTACCTCACAGCTGCTCTTATTAGTGTCAATCCAAATTGTTCTTGGATAATCGATTCCAGTGCAAACCGATCACATGACCGGATTATCACAATTATTTCATCTTATAGACCATGTGTAGGAAATCAAAAAATCAAAATAGCTGATGGTTCCCTCTCAGCCATAGCCGGGAAAGGAACCATCACTATTTATCCTGCACCAAACACCCATTGTCCAATTTTGTGTCGTATGAAAAAGTGTCTCCCTCTTTCCATGCATTTATCTCACAACTCTCCAGTGTAGCTATTCCAAAAAATGTACAGGAGGCTTTAGTTGTTCCCGATTGGAAGGAAGCAATTTATGAAGAGATGAGGACTCTTGAGAAAAATGAAACATGGGACGAAGTAGACTTGCCATGCGGGAAAACAACCGTTGGCTGCAAATGGGTGTTTACCGTGAAGTACAACTCAGATGGCTCATTGGAAAGGTATAAAGCTCGCTTGGTAGCAAAGGGATTTACACAAACATACAGTATTGACTACTCCGAAACCTTATCTCCAGTAGCAAAACTAAACACAATAAGGGTTCTCGTGTCCATTGCCGTGAATCTTGATTGGCCTCTACATCAGCTAGACATAAAAAATGCCTTCCTCCATGGAGAATTAGCATAAGAGGTGTATATGGATGCTCCACTAGGTTTTTCCAAGAGGTTTGGTTCGAGGGTCTATCGATTAAAAAAGTCTATGTATGAGCTCAAGCAATCTCCTAGAGCTTGGTTTGAACGATTTGCAAAGTTTGTAAAAGGCCAAGGCTTTACTCAAGGACAAGCAGACCATACTCGATTCATGAAGATATCCTCTGAAGGGAAGATCGCTGTCTTAATTGTCTACGTGGATGATATTATCCTTATAGGAGATGACTTCAAAGAAATGAGTAAATTAAAGTAGTGCTTGGCTACTGAATTTGAGATTAAGGATCTGGGACCATTACGATACTTTCTGCGTATGGAATTTGCTCAATCCAAGAAAGGGATTGTCGTCTCATAGCGCAAATATATCCTTGATCTTTTAGAAGAAACAGGGATGAGTGGATGTAGACCGGCTGACACCCCTATGGAGTTCAAGGTAAAACTTGGTGAAGGAGAGAAAGAGGTCCAGGTTGATACAAACCGATACCAGAGACTCATTGGCAAGTTAATTTACCTGTCTCATACAAGACCTGATATCGCATTCGCAATAAGTGTGGTTAGCCAGTTCATGCACGCCCTGTACGAGGAACACCTTGAAGCGGTTTACCGGATCTTGAGGTATTTAAAAGGAACTCCAAGAAAAGGATTGTTTTTCAGGAAAAGTGAGCATAGGGGAATTGAAGTCTATACGGATGCTGACTGGGCAGGATCAATAGTGGATAGAAGATCAACCTCTGGATATTGCACATTCTTATGGGAAAATTTAGTCACGTGGAGGAGCAAAAAGCAAAGTGTAGAGCTAGAAGTAGTGCCGAGGCCGAGTATAGATCAATGGCACTAAGAATATGTGAGGTACTATGGCTACTGAGAGTCCTCAAGGAGCTTAGAAGACTACACGATAGTCCTATAAAACTATATTGTGACAACAAGGTAAAACTATATTGTGACAACAAGGCTGCAATCAGTATCGCGCACAATCCTGTTCAACATGACAAAACAAAGCACATTGAGGTGGATAGACACTTTATAAAGGAGAAGCTTGAAGAAGGGGTCATCTGCACGCCATTTGTTCCAACCACACAACAAGTTGCAGATATTCTAACAAATGGACCCCTAAGGCAGAAGTTTGAGTTTCTAGTTAGTAAGTTGGGCAAGATAGATATCTTTGCACCAACTTGAGGGGAAGTGTCGGTTAGATAAGGGTTTATCATTAGAGATAAGATTTCTAAAGTTAGAGTTTATCTTTAATTAGGATAGAGTTTATCCTTAATTAGGACAGTTTCTTTTAGGAAGATAAAGTTTCTTCCTTAGCCTATTTATTATGTATTATTTTTTACTATTCTAAAAAATAATAGAAAAAAGTTTCTTTCTAGAAAATTTACAGTCAGTAACATCTATATCTCATAGCGTAAGTTACTAGTAAGAGAGCAAATTTGGCTCTGCATTTTGTAGATTTAGTGCGTCCTTTTTAAGATTCATAAACTTTTAAATCTGTTACAGTAATTAGTAGACTAACTTTTTCTTTTATTTTTTATTTTTTATGCCAATCTCAGTAAGTTAACTTAGTTTAGATTCTCAATAAGATACCTGCAGAGGACTTGCAGAAAGTTAACTTCAATGAGGGATGGGCTAACCGTTTAGATTTCTTATGAACAAGTTGTTTCCCAAGAGAGTTTTCGGTTGACACTTTCTTTTATTCTCTGTATTTGGTAACCTGCAAGCTTGTATTGGAGAGCTGCTCCTTCATAGGTATGGTAAATTGATGACATCTCTTTCTTTTGCAAGGTCCTCAGTTACGTAAGCTCTTGAAATGGCCTAGGCCACTTCCTTTAGAGGACGAACGGGTTCGGTTGCTGCATGAGGTGATTTTGACTTTTACAATTAGCTCGCTTTGCATAAGGAACACAATTTAAGTTCATAGCCTTCTAATTTTTATATTGAAAGTGGATCTAAAACTAACGCTATGTAATTGCAAAGGTTGGATTTGAACTGGATAGAAGCTTTGATGGCAAAGCGTCCAATCTTGTGGAGTCCTGTGGAAAATCAGCTGCGAGGCTTGTAGCTCTGGTTGCTAGTCACTTCCCCGGTATCCTTGCATTACTTGCACAAGAAATTCCTGTTTATCGGTTTCCACTTTAGCTGGAATCTTGACCTTTTCTTTATTAAAATGTTATAGGTTTCCGAGACCACTCACTCTACAAAGGACATCAGGTATTCTTGTACAAAAGAGCTCAAATATTTGCTGCAGATTTATGGGGTGCATTCGAGGGTCAAGGATATGGAGAATTTAATGACATTGGATCAATAACTATAATGGCGGACTATATTGTCCCAGCTGTTCTTCAGCAGATTGGCGTGCTGAAATATAGTCCAACACTCACCAACAAAATTGAGGCTGATAAGGAAATTGTTCCAGGCAGTGAGGAAGAAGTTGAACTTCGAGCTTGCTCTATATATGCAGTGGAAAAAATGAGGGAGTTGATCAGTATAAAATCAGGGAAGCAGGTATATAGATAAAAATGACGTTTGTTACTTTCAGAAAGATTTGCCAGATGTTTATGCTGATATGATATTGTTATTCAAAGATAGCTTATACTGATATGAACATGTTTTTTCGAAGTTCTTTCCAACAAGAGCATATGTTATTGTCATCATTGATGGGCATTTGGTATCTTACATAATGCATGACCTTGCCCTTTCCTTGAAAAAGTTATTTTTTTCTTCAGTTTTCTACTCTTGCTCTATTTGCAACTTTCATTCTTGTAATCTAATTGTTCAAATTTATGACTTTCACTTTTTCAGGTACTTAGCGTGGAGCTAGATCTTTGGCTTTGGTCTTTCGGCATTCAGTTTCCATCTCTGAAACACCATCGAACACTATCGATATACTATTGAGTGCACCAAAACAGAGTGCGGTTGTTGCTATATGTTCTCCACTATTAGATAGGAAAGAACTGGGCATTTAGTAACAGCAATGAGATCTGATTATTTTATACCCTCATGAAATGTGTTTTGAATTTGATCTTTTTATCCTTCTCTTTTAGTATTAACTAATCATTTTTTTTTTTTTTCCCAATTGAGCTACATGTTTGCTAATTCTGTATATTGAAATCTTCATCCACATAACAATCATATGGTCTGCCACTAGTACTCTGTTTTTCAATTGCTCATCGAGAGACAAGATGATATCCAACACCATATCAGCACCACTTTTTGTCAAAGAATTAAATACACAAGTCCTAAGAGTTCATGGAACACAATGGGAAGTACATGCTTTGTTTATTCAGTGCCCTTGGTGATATTCAGATTGTGGAGCTAGAGCAAGGGTTCTTAGTTGTGGGCAAATTTCCATCGTAACTACATTTCAGGACGTCCGGTTTCCTCACTAGCCGGGGTCCAACTGGCACTTTGCCGGCTTTTGGACGAATATCCTGCAGATGCATATAATCAACTCTTAAATTTAACTGTCGACAGCTTTGAACCTTTAACTTTTCAAAATAGAAACTACGGAGAAATAATCCAAAACCATACGTGTGCCTGGCTTTCTACAAATGAAAACTACTAATCTGGATTCTGGATAACTTAAAACATGAATTGATCCCTCTATTTTTTGCTATTCGCTCCTGCTGGAGCATCCGATTGCTTCGTCTTATCAATAAGTAGTTATGAGGACCACCCGCCTTTCTAATAACATTCCTTTTCACCATTCTTTTTTATTTTTTAGTTTTAATCCCCCTTTAAGACCAAAGGATACATTGTGTTGTTAGAAAAAACAGAAAACTTTTGTGAGAATGGGCAATACCTGTTAATAGTTTGAAACGGAAACAAAGTAGAACTCGCATACTATAAGGTTGGTGAATGGTAGAATAAACAGAAAATTCATAGTTATTGGAGACTAGGCCGGAGGAGAACTACTACCTGATCAAATATTGCAGTTGGAATTGCCAGAGTTGCCACAGCATTGGGGGAATCGACTATACCAGAAATCCTCCCTTCACATGGGCAGCAGGATAACAGAAGGTAGACCTGAATTTTTGTCAATTATGGATTATATGTCTGATATACGGTGATTCTTAGAGGAATTGCACTTGTAAAACAGAGAAATGATGACCTGTTCTTTGGAATATCCAAATTTGGAGAGGTAGTCAATGGCATTAAGTACTGCACGCTTGTAAGCAACGGTTGCGTCGAGATAGTGCTGCCTCCCGCTCTCATCAACACTTATACCCTCAAATACCAGCCATTCTGAGAATCTTGGTTCAACAGGTCCTATCTCAAATATTGGGTTCACATGAAGAGGAGTTGGCCCCATTGGCGTCAGATACTCTTTCATTCCATCCCTTATAATCTCACATCTGATACAACGTTAGAGTCAGTATTACCCTGCAACCATGGCTAGTTTCTTTTCAAAGCATGCTGCCATGAATTAATAGTTCACAAGAGGTAAAGACCCATTTTTGTTTCCTACTTGAAGCACATATGAAGAGAGACCAATTATGGCGTCTAAAGTTTGTAGTTTGAAGTAAAAGAAAGTCACTGATGAAGTGAGTTATGGTAAACCAATGGCAAATTCAAAGGATCGTAACCGAGGCAGAACTCAAAACCACTTTTAGGAGTTTCTTAGGAACGTTTGGCAACTTGCATCCTGTAGAGGTCATTATTCTGTATTTCGGTCCCTGCTCGTTTGCAACTACCTTTTGCATATGCCCACCTTCCCTTTGTTTATCATGTCAAAACATATAAAATATTGCAATATATTCGAATGTATAAACAATACTTGTGTTTGCTGCCATTCGTATGTAAAAATGCGAGTACGGATTGTAATGCTGATAAATGTCAAATATGAATCCAAAATAAAGCTTAAGTCACCATCGAAACTTTACGAGATCGAGAAATAAGAAATGTACTTGAGATCCAGAAAGCCACTCATCTCAATTGCCCCACAGAATGAGACTTCACCATCGCCCTGAGAGAAGTGCATATCACCAGTACTGAGATTTCCTCCTTCTACAAATACAGGAAGGTATATCTTTGATCCTCTACTAAGGTTTTTTATGTCGCAGTTTCCACCATTTTCTCTCCCCGGTATCGTCCTTGCAGCCTCCTGAGCTATCTTCTCCCATTCAGGAGTGCCCTCTTTGATCTACACGAGCACAATAACAATGCTTTAGATTATCAGATTTTTACAGATTAACTAAGAAGCATAACCATTTTATGTGATATAATTAGATGAACTGAAACTTTGTTTGTGGTTGCTTTCTTAGCTTCATAAGATGTTCATTAAGTCCTACCTTTCCGAGGACACAACCTTTTGTTGTTGGTAAGTTGGCCAATGGTCGTTGATGCAAGACTTCACATAGTTTCAGAGACTCGAGTCCATTCTCAACCAGCTCTCTCTCCCTGTCATTCCATATATTGAGGAGTTCCATTGATGGCGCTGTTCCAATTATTCCCGGGTGAGTTAAACCCGGAAATCTTACTCCTGCAATGCATGAATTACCATTAGAAAGCAGTGTTATGTTTAATAGCCAGAGGATGAAAAAGGTTGAGAAATCACCTGGTATTTGAGGAGAGTAAGCATATATTCCTTCAAAATACCAAATAGCTTTGGTTGCACAAGGAAAATGGTCGGTCAGAAAACCGCCGCCATTCTCTCGATCGAATGTGGCTGTGTAACCCCATTCATCTCCTGGAAGTGGACCCAAGTTGCAGATCTCAACCGCCAGAAGATCCCCTGGCTTGGCTGCAGCTCCATCCTTGTCCAATATTCTGATAGGCCCACTGAGATAATGAACCTGCAGCCAGTTTTTAAGCCTCTAAATTCTCATATGGAATAAAACATACAATTCCAACTACTCTTGTTTTCTACTAAAGTAAATTAGATCCTTCTATCCTTGACAAGCTGGCCTTAAGGAGTATACGTTCCAACTTCCAAGTTTAATGCACCTTCTCACAGGGTAATTTTCTATCACTCAATTATCTATGAAAAGGATACAAAACTGTACTTACAGGGGAAAGGTCTAGGAATTTAACATCAAGAGCCGAATCGTCATCCTTAATGGCACCACCGGTCCAATCGACCATTTCTACTCTAAAGAGCTCACCGGTCTTGACCTCTGCAACCGGCGGAATCCGAGGGTGCCACCGGTTGTGAAGAGATTGCTTTTGCTGCCATGGCTTGCTCTTTAGGTCTATGGACACTACTACTTTTGGAGTCAGAGGAGCCATAATTGATGTAAAAACCCAAGTGGGAATCAAACTTATGGAGTCAAAAATGAGTATTGACACTACAGAAAGACACAAAGATAACGGCTTTAGACTTTTATTAGGCTAACCAAATTGAAAGATGAGACTCTCTCTCTCTCTCTCTCTCTCTCTCTCTCTTGAAAATTACAAAAATGGTCCCCAAAACCAACTTTAGTTAGAGAACAATTAGGATCCGACAAAGCTTCGGAGATTTCTGAAGATATCATATGAAAATATGTGATTTCATAAAGGAATAAAAATCTCTTCACTCTTCCCCAGAAAAATAAAATAACACCATACAGTCTTCGTTTCTGAATCATTGATTTCGATTATCGGCACCAAGAAACAAACGCAACCTCTCAATAATCATTGAAAAAAGAAATTTACTTTCAAAAAACTTGAAAATCAAAATCAGATCTTTCTTTTGGTTGCAGACAAACAAACTCACGATATAAGGATCGGCGTGTTTGATGTCATGGGCGGTGAATTCCTTGGTAATACCGCCGCCGCTGAAATCCACCATTTCAACTCTGAAGACCTCGCCGGCGGCGACCTCCGCGACCGGCGGGATCTCCGGGTGCCATCGGTTGTGGAGGGGAAGCTCCTGTTCCCGAGGCTTCTTGTTCACGTCGATTGGGACGACCAGTCGCGGACCGTGTTGAGCCATGGATCCGACCAGACAAAACTAGGTGAGTTCCCAATACGGAGAGGATTCTCAGTGTCCATGGAAATGGAAATGGAATCAATCAGCGTCCAGATTTCGTTTTCAGATGAGACGTTCGACAGCCATGAGAGGTCGTCAGGCACGACAAAGTTTAGTGTTGATATTTTAAGTCGTGTGTTCATGAATGTATCATGAGTGCTTTGATTTGGATCTAGTAAAGAGTTGCTTTTTCAATTGTCGTTGTTGTTGTCATATCAGAAGCAGGAGAATTTATTTTCAAGGGATTTTTGCGTTAAGTGTCTGCTGATTATTAGTTAAGTTTAGCCACTCTCATTAGTATTGATGGCAATGGATTGTAGAACTTTGAAAACTGTTCGTTAATTTGAGTTTTTAATTTGAGTTGAGATATAATATTATATGAGAGTTTTTTATTGTAATAAAAAAATTAAATGTGACTGTTTCTAATAATTTTTTACTGTAACAAAACTCGAATTCTAAATTTAAATCAGTGAAATAAACGGGACCTCGAGACTATACGACGGACTCAGAGATTATTTTTTTTAATTTTTTTTTTATATAATTAATGATACCTTCATTTCGAGGATTTGCTAAGTTGATTACTCTCTCTGTGGAAGAGAAATGCATTCGATTACTCTCTTTGTTATTTTTTATGTTTATTATTTAACATGTGAATTTTATTATCTTATTTTTTATTTAAATAATAATATATTTAATTAATAGAGTCTGATAAATGGAACAAATAATAAAAAAGTGATACTATCATTACTTCTTTTTTTTTTTAATTATGATACTGGATGATTACTCCATTATGCGGTCTAAAAAGTTATCACATAAATTATTTCAAAGTTATCTTATAAATTCACATTTTTAAAAGATTATTTTACAAATAATACTTTCTTATTAAGCCATTTTTATAAAGAACTTCGGAATTTGACACGTCTATGTTGTGGAGTATTTTCAATTGGATTACAACTATTAAAGTTTGAAGGATTATTATCACTTATGCTTTCTGAACTTTAGGGTCATTTTTAATTTATCTCTTAAATTTTTAAAACTCTCATTTTACTCTCTAAACTTTAAATTATTTCCACTTAACCCTTTTTGTAATAATTTTTATTAACAACATATAGTAATATAGAATAACGTAGTTACGTGATCTTTTTTGTTTGGATTTCTATTAAAAATAAACCAATAAAAACCATATAACCACATTGAACTTCCTCTTTTTACGTCTAATTTTAAGAGAAATTACATTAAAAGAAGTTAAGTGAGAACAATATAAAATTTATAGAGTAAAATGAGAGTTTTTAGAATTTAAAAGACAAACTAGTAATAATCTGTTCAATGAGCACTAGTGAGAATAATCTAAATTTGAAAAGTAATCTTGTACTTCCAAAGAGTGATCAATGCGAAGAAAATTCTTAAAAAATAAAAACTACATTAGAAATTCATAGTTCAAATTTCAAAAATTTTATGATTAGGCAAAAATTGATTTTGAGGTCCTACTATTTTTAGATTATGTATTTGGTATCTCGAGAGTAATTTTTAAATGTTTTACATTAATTGGTGTTACTATTTAATTTGGTTGTTTTTCCATGGATATATTATTGGTTGTTTCGACTTGATTTATAAACTAATATTTATGTCTTATTTTGACTCCAAATTTTATCACATGAATTTATATGCGTGATCATTTCTATCTACAAGTGAAGCGTTTTGGGCGTGTTTGAAACTCGTTTTAAAATGATTTTATTTTTTGTATGAAAATGAAAATGAAAACGTTTTTAATTTCAGACATAAATCATTTTTAAAAATGTGTTTGGAAGTTTTATCAAGAGATTATTTTCAGTGTAAAAAAACTCATTAATGTCTCTCTTCCTCTCTCGGCTCGAGAGATGAGAAAACGAAAACAAGAAATGAAAAACGACTAATCTCACTTTACACTAAACTAAAACATCATTTTCATTGATGTTTTTTTATCTTTATTGCGTAAAACGTTATTTTAAAAATATTTTTATTTTTTCTTACTTAAAAAATGTAAAAAATAAAAACAGAATCAATTTCAACGATGCCTTTATTTTTTGTTTTCTATTTTGTGAAGTGATGGGGGTGAGAGAGTTTACTCTAGCCACTCATTATAGGAATCATTCTTGTATGCTTTTATCTCAGCCGAAATTATCACCAATTTTGGTGCCTTTTGTTCGTCGAGCAATAGGGTTATACGTCCACGTTAAAAATAGTAGGCGTTACGCACCAAAAAAAAAAAAAAGAAAAAAAAAAGACTAGTATTGAAGATATTGATCGAGAGATGTCATGGTTTTGAAATACGGAGAGGGACATGATAGTGCTCAACAGCAATATGACTAATATTTCATAAATGAATATTATTTCATGAATGAATATGATTGACTTCAGAAAAAAATAAAAATAAAAATTGCCATTGATAAGAAAGAAATTTGTCATCATTTACTCTAGCAAAATATTTTGGCGTCATTCATATAGATAACATAGGACCTACTCTACATGTTGGCTAAGGTAAAACAAAAACATATAGGCGTTTTCAAAATAATGTTACTAAATGCTTGTAATTTTTTTTTAAAAAAAAAAAAGAAAAAAAAACGCTTTTATGTGGTCTGTTGTCATACTCATACGCGTTAGTAAAATTTAATTAACGCATAAAAAAGTTATTAGTTGAAACTTGAAAATATTTTATAGTTTTCATTGCATTATTCATTCTGTGCACGATAATAATTAGATATGTATATTTATTTGAAAATAATGCTAAGGAATTATTCATCAAAAAAGTGTTAAAGAACCGAAAACGTATTTTATTTTATTTTTTTTTCCTAGTGATAGTGTAGGAGGTTGTTTGTACTTTATAATTTAATTTATAGGCCTAGCCAAAATGATATATTCATATTATAAAAATGATATTGATTATTGAAGTATTTACCTTATGAAATTAAAAACATAAGTATTACAAATTGTTTACATTTGCTAGGAATTTGACTGCAACCTATTCCAAGTTGCCTTACTAGTAGACCCCACAAATCGGAATCTTTAGGATATTGCCACCATTTTTCATGATGACTTTTTGAGATGTTTATTTATTTATTGATTATCATAGAGAAATTGAAGCTTTTTTTCGCTTGACTTTGGATGGTCTCAATTCTAATAGTTGTTCATATAGGGCTTGTGTAAAACTCTCATTAAGATTATGAAGTGCTGACTTGATTTGTAAACAAATGATAGTACGTCTATTTGGGTATGATTTTGGCTGAGAATCCTGTCTCAATATTGAGGATGCGACTCTTTTTGGCCCCGTTTATTTTACTAATTTGAGTTTAAAATTTAAATTTTATTACAGTAAATTTTTTTTTAAAACAATCACATTTAACTTTTATTACAGTAAAAAGCTCTCACATAAAGTCACATATCAACTCGAATCAACAAATTAAATGGACCTTAATATTTGCCGAGACAAAGGAGATTGTATAGAGGTTTCTACACGAGAGAACAATTTCTTGTTATACATAGCATGTAAATCATTAGTCCAATCATGTCTTAAAAAAATTAAAGGTTATTGTATAAGGTTTTTCTTTTCTAAAAAAAAAAAAAAAAAAAAAAAAAAAAACCTTCTGGAAATGAACTATATTTTAGTAAATATATATTTATTTCTGTGAGATCATATTAAAATCATAGCATAATCAAATAGTGTAAATTTTAGCAGATTAAAATTTACATTTGTTAAAACTTTAGTTGAGATCAACTTCTTTCGGTAAAAGAGTTGAAACTTTTGCATACATTTTACAAGAGCATTATATTTTAGTTCAAACGAAGGAACAAAAAAAAAAAAAAAAAAAAAAAAAAAAAAAAAAAAGAAAAAAAAAATTTTTTTTGGTGGCTTTTTTTTTTTTTAAAAAAAAAAAAAAAAAAAAAAAAAAAAGACAAGGATAAGCATACTTATTTTGAGTCGTATTTTCTTACTTTACTAAAGTGTATATATGATGGAATCAATCACATTTTTTATTCTTATTCTCGATTGATAAATAACACATCATGTTCTTTCAAAAAAATAAATAAATAACACATCATGAATGAATGATACCTCCCAGTACAAGAGAGTTTTTATTCCGATCGATGTACTTATTTTCATCGTAAAATGTTAACGTGTAAGTCGAATTCATCACAAGAATAATTTTAGTTTTGTATTTTTTTTTCTTTTTCAAGTGGTTTTTAAGTGGTTTTAATCATGTACATTTGTCAATAATTCCATGTTTCAACGATCTTAAACCTTCAAATTTCTATACAGGGTTAATTTCACTTTTGCCCTTTGAATTATGTATTTTGTCCCATTTTGACCTTTAAACTTTGAAAAGTTGCAAATCACACCCATGAACTATCCAATTTGTCCCATTTTGACCCTTCCATTACTAAAAACTGTTAAATCTCAACAGAATTAGACATATGACCCTCACATGATAGTTTAATAAAAGGTATTTTAGAAAAGTTGTATTTATCAATTTAGCCATTGTCCCTTTTTCAACTAAATCCCCAAATTATCACTACTATCTAAGAAGCATTTACAAACATTTTTCTCCTGCCATGTTTATGATTCTTTTTCTCATTTTAATTCATAAGAAAATAAAAAGAGAATATCAAGCTGAACTTACTTATATATATCCTTAACCTTTTTAGCATTATTTTTTTATTTAAGTAAAATAAACATGGAATTTGCTTATATATCCTTATCAAGCTGGTGAATATTTAATTTTGAAAATTTATGTAAATATACCATGTTAAAAGTTTATTAACATATACCTTTACGCGCACACACCATCTAGTTTGGGCTCTGCTAGTTGCAGCCAAGACAATTCAAGTAAGCATTAAATTGATTCTTAAGTGTTATAAGAAATGCTATCATCACTTTTTTGTCACAATTGCATCCAAGACATTTCAAGTAAGCATTAATTTAATTCTTAAGTGCTATAAGAACTGCTATCGTCACTTTTTTATCACTATCTGCATTTACTGTTTAACATGTGGACTCTATTAATATTTCATTTTCTATTTAAATAATAATATATCATTTTAGTGAAGTCCATGTATCGAGCAATGAATACAAAGAGTAATAAAAAGAATGAAAGAAAAGTGATACTATCATTTCT